ACCGTGCCGGCTCTCGCACAAGGGCCAGAGCTGTAATCACACCCCAGCTTCCTGCTGGGCTACACAGAGACAAATTAATGGCAGATAGATTGCTACCTCCAGCCCATCGGTAACGAGGGAGGAAGGGAGACAATATAGCAGGACAGGGGAGCTGTAAGCAGAATCTTCCTGCCTCACTCCTTGTGAGTACCCCAAGGCCCGAGCAGAGTCACAGACCCCCCCCAGCTTGTGCTTTATTTGCTGAAGATAATCTGTGATATCTGAAGATAATCTGTCCAAGAGATGCTAGACACCAAACTGCTTCCCAATAAGACACTACTTAGACTTGATCTTGGAGGTCTTTTCCAACCCTAATGATTCCATAAGAAACGTGGGAACTGCCTCTGCTGGCCTGTCCAGGAGCCACGGGGAGATCTCGACACGGACAGAGCTATCACAGGACAAATCCTCCCCTGCATGAACTACACAAGAAAGGAATAGAAACGTGGTGCCCCTGCAGCTGCCTCTCCTGAGGACTGAAGACCCCAAAGACACATCCTGGCTGTGCAGCAAAAGCACCTCTGCGATGGAGGGACACCAGCAAGGACCAAACCCCCCTAAAACCCCGTTAACCTTTCGAGAAGGGGTTAAAGTTTCGGGATAGGCAGTGGTGCGGCAACTCGGTTTTAACATCGCCACATTTGCAGACAGATTCCATCCTGCCATTTATCTGTCGCATAAAGCACCTTCGCAGGGCCAGATCCTGCTGCCTGGAAAAGCTGCCGCTGAAATCGGAGCGGTGTTTTTTTTTCCGGCACAGCCCAAACAGCTGCGCGGCCGCCGGGGAGCCACTGCCTGCGCACATGTCCTCATGTCCTCTGCTCCCTGCCCCTCTCCCTGCCCCAGCAGCGGGGGAAAGCGCTGCAGGAGCCGCCTGCCCTGGCTGGAGAGCCACCCGGAAAATCCCTGGCCTGGAGTCTGCACTGGAATGTTTACAAGCCCCCTTTACAAGAAGGAAGCAGTCACGAATCAAGTTTTTTTGCACTTTCACAGCACAACTTCGCAATCAAATTGATTGCGCCTTTCAAACTGGTATAAACCTCCTTCCCGAGCAAAGTCCTTTGTATCCGCTTTTGCCAAGTACCTTTTTTTTTTTTATCAGTTGATATATAAACCTTTGAAAACAAGTTTGAGGGGAGACTGACAACCTTGAAACCTCAAGAGCAGCATGGCATTGACGGGTGCTACTCCCTGAGCTGAGCATTATAGATAGATTTTAATTTCATTTTAACAAAATAGCTGTCTCCAGTGGAAGAAGCATCAAGAGCTAAATGAGGACCCGTCTTGAGCTGAATCACGTTGAACAGACCTCGGCACTGTCATTGATTTTCTGGGAAGAAAAAAAACGCCTCTGGCTACTAAACCAAATTAGTAGTCACTGATGACCAATTATTTTGCCCCACTGTGAACGGAGAGGCGTACTAAAATTCCAGTTTGTCAGACCCAAGGCTCTCTTCTCAAACACCTTTCAACAAGCGTGTACCAAAAATCCCTCAGATGGTTCTGACGCCTTCCTGTTTTCGGCAACTTCTCCTTCTCCAAAGTTTTAATGAGCTGCTGCTCCCAGGATGGCCTGCCAGAAAGTGAGCCCTTCCCAGGGTGGCGGAGCACTTTTTGGCGTGGCACCAATCACAGCTGTCAGAATTTATACACACATACACAGAAAAGTGTCAGCCTAATGTTTGCAAATTATAATTACCATTTCTCTTGCATGTCCCTGGTGCCTTCATTTTAGATAAATCCCAGCTCTGAGGTATCAGCTGCAAAGCACTGAAGGCTCCTATTGAATAGAATAGATTTAACTAGTTTGTAGCTCATTTAAGGCCTACACTGGTTTATTTTAATATTGTTAATACTTTATTATACTTTTTAACATTGTTTTCACAGTAAAATAGCCTATTAGGAGGCTGCAGCTTCTTCTTCCAGGAGATTTCTGGCAGACTGGCATTCCACATTGTATAACCAAGTTAGCAGGTGCTTGTCATTTCAGTTGAAAATAGGTCTGTACCCTGACTCTTGAAAGTAAATTAGAGAGATTCTATTAAAGAGACAGCAACTCTTTCAGGGATAATAGTTTTGAAAGTGTGCACAGATAAATTTTAAAATATTTAGGAAATGTCAACATTAGAAGTGGCTCCAACTATTTGACTATAAAAGGAAGCAGCCGAGGATTTTTTTTCTTCTACAATTATAAATAATTTGTTACATCCTATCAGAACTTCTTTGCCTTTCCTTTCTGTGGCAGGGTGCTTGTGCCAAAACAAGGAGATCTGAGTTACTCTGGATGAGATGGATTTTAATCTCCAATAAGCATTTTCAGCGGATGCTTCCCCTGCTCTCCCCACAGCAAAATCCTCCCAGTTCAGGAGTGACGTCTGGGCAGGGTGACAGAAGGAAACGGAGCACACAGGCCGTTCATTCCTGTCCTTAAGTAACACTGAGGCAAGGGGACATTTTCCCAAAGGCCAAATAAGCTGCAGATAAGGACTGTCACCCTGCCAAGTGGCACCAATATCGGGGCCAAACTCCCCGTGCACTCCACGAGATCAGGGTTCGCCCTACAAAGGAAAAGCTGCCTCACTGGAATTCCTCCAGCAAACCTCAGTCAGAGTGTGTTACCTGCCATCCCCTGCTCTTCCCCTCTCTCTCAGTGTTTCTCTCAAAAGGAGGCAGGAAAAGCCAGATGAAGCCTCGTGTCCTGCAGCCCCAGCAGAGCTTACGTGGATAACTGAGCACACGAGTCATTCCCCCCGATTTCAGAGGCAGTCCATGCGTGTATCATTCCAGGCAGGGCTCTATACTTTGCTGGATCAGGACTTAACTGCGATTAATCACACGGCAGGGAAGGATCTCTGAAGAGCATCAACCCAAATGTGTCCTTTCAAGCATTTACTTACAAGCCAGCTGTGGACTAATCAGTCACCAACTGGCTGGTCCACTGGAGATGGTAAAAGTCACCTCCATGGAGATGTGAAAACCCATTCAACTTCCACAACAATCAATAATCAAAGGCTACAAAGGCTCAGTGCTTTCCTGCATCCCTCCCTGCTATTCCTGCACCCCAGGAAGGCTCCTGCCTTGGAGAGCAAAGGGCCAGGAGGAAAGAAGCTCACGTGCAATGCCCACCACGTGTCAGGAATACCAACATTCACACCACACAGTGAGACTGGAGACCCCACACAGAGAATAAGACAACTTGACCACAGGTTCACCACATCTTTTAACCTTTCTAAATGTTTTGCCCAGCTCTGATCGGGGTGAAACACCAAACTGGAAGGGAAGGAGGGGGAAGAGGGGACAAAGGGTAAACATCAGTGTCGCCTTTGGCATGGGGACTCTCCAGATAACTGGAGCAGCAGAGCTGATTTGTAAGCAAAGGCTTGAAAAGCCCTGCAGCATGTGATCTATGAAACAGGAGGTCTGCAGAAGGATGTCTCCTCTGATGTGAATGCCCCCTTGGGATGGATATTGCTGGATTGCACATCTAGTATCATTAGAAAACACGACCATAGATTAGGCTGTTTTGAAGCATGTGGCGTGCAATAATTAAGTAATAAAAGTCACCACAGGGGTGAAGGAACAAGAAACAGAAGAGTTACTATTTGCATACGCGCTGCTGGTGCCCTCTGTGATCATCAAGGATTCTCCAGGCTGCTAAAAGCTGGCGGCTGTCAATTTTGGACCCACTCCTGCCAAGAGCCACAAAGCACCAGCTCACTCTGTGGCGTGTGAGCTCTTGGCAGAAAAAGACCTTCTGGTGGAGCTGGTGGCCCAGAAGTTATCCCAAATCCCCAGTGCCTTGCAGTTGGTCCAGAGAGGCAGCTAAAGCACTGTCCCTGTGACAGGAGTTGCAGCTGAAGGCACTGCAGGCCACGGGTGGGAGCTCCACAGTCATCAGCCACTGCTGAGATCAGAGAATTCCCTCCTCAGCAAGGTGTGCAAGGACAAGGACCAATAAAACTTGAGATCCAGCTCCTCCATCACCTTCAAGTGTTTGCTGCTGGGGGAAGAGAAGAGCAGCAGGACCACAGCAATAACTGATTCGCTGTCCTCGAGGTGGGAGCCCTGCTGCTGCCACTGCCAGCTCTGCCTCCCACGCTGGCTGATGAAGTTAAAGCATCCTCACTTGCAAGGAGCAAAGCTCAACAATTTCAGGCTGCAGCTCTGCCACAAGCTGGTCAGGTTAATGCCAGCTCAGAGCAGCTGAATGGGATGCTGGCCAACAAGCCACTGCCTTTTTTTCCTGCTTTTCTAGAAACACTGTCATCTGCAGCTCCTGTCCACTGCTGTCTCCCCCTTGCTCCTTGCACACTCCCTGGAACCCTGTTTCAGGGGCAAATACATCTGGTCTGTGCAGCTCAGGAACTAGACCAGGGCTCAGCATTTCAGCTCTCCTTTCTGCTGCAGACACCTGACCATCTGCATTGGGTCCATTTTTATCCCTATTCAGATTGCTTAGGCCAGCACTTACTCCTCTCACCCAATCCATCATCGCATCTGTTTGCAGCCTTTGGTGCAAACATTTGAGAGATTTTAATAGCAAAAGCAGTGTCATTTTAGCAAAACACACTTTGCACCCAGTGGTTCTTCCACTGGAGGGGATCCAGCCAGAGCTGCTCCTCCGAGCTCCAGGGTGGCAATGCCAAAGCTCAGCCCAGGGTTGAGCTGAAGTCTGTGGTGCTCCATGGTCCTTCCAGCACACCAGGGTCTGGACAGAGCTGCTGTAAAAGGTTGTGCAAAGATAGAAATCGTGCCCAGGTGTGTGCAGGTTGTGGTGTATTAACAGCAAATGAATGTGGGTTTGAGGTTTCTTGAGGAAGAAAAAGCCTTTCCCAGTGCAAGGCTTTATTCCTGTTCTCAGCAGTCACACATTCCAGGAGCAGAGATGTGAACCAGAATGGGGAGGTAAAGAGAGGCATTACCCCTGGAGATTATATTGTTGTCCTTTCAATGTTTTCCAGGCCTTCCACTCCCATTTATGACATCATCCAACACAGATACAAGGAGATGTGGATGGAGCGCCAGAGAGCCCGGACAAAACTCCAGATAATCGAAAAGAAAAAGGTGATAATACTCCAGCAATGCTTCCCCTTGCTGTGCTCTGCACTGCTACTGGGCAGAACCCCCCCTGCCCTGCCCCTCCATGGATGGGGAGGGCTCTCAGCTGGGAAAATATCCTCCCTGCCTACTAAAAGGCTGATGAAGCCTAACAAAGGTGAGCATCCCTGTGCCAGCAGCCCCTTGGGCTGTCCTTTGGGCAGCATCAGCTCTGCTCAGGTTACCTGGGACAGTGGCCACAACAAGGGGACAGCCAGCAGATGATGGAAGGACCAGCCCTGCCCCTGGCATGGTGTGGTTGATGGCAGCACCCACAGCAGCTGTGGGAGTTGTAATACTGGGTTGTTAAACACACCAACATTGTAATATCATTTAAAAGCAGCCAATGACTGTTTTATTAGTTAATGGCTCAGAGAAGAGTCAAGCTAATATGGTAATGACCAATTTCAATGGGCTTACTGCCATCACAAACTATGCTTTATAGTTGAAGTGCAGGAAAACAGTGTCCTTAATTAGCAGCTCCTTTATGAATACACCAGCCTGGGATGTTGGAAAGTGCATCCCTCCTTTATCTATTAGTGACTGATTGTTTTTACTCACTAAGTTCTCTCCATCAAGTTCCCAAAGCCTGCAGCCACCAATTACTGAGCTAAGCAACACAAACCTGCATCCTGGACCACAGAACAGACTGATTTCCCAGGGTTTCATGCAGTGGCCAAAACATTCACCAGGTACCTGCACTGGCTTGTGCTGGGACTATCGAGCACCGTGAGCTGCAATTAATCAGAGAGCAGCACACACGAGGCCAGCCAGCAAACCCCACCGTGGTGGGGGTGGTGGAAGTGACTTTCCCAGCTGGTGGTGAGCCATTGCTGCAGCTCAGGGCACAGGGCTTCCTGCAGGAAGTGGTCATCTCCCTGGGATGCTGCATAAAGCAGACCCTGAGAGCTGACAGCTGCTCGTGTTTTCCCCATCACTATGTTTTAACTACCACTATCAGCTGCACAGGCACGAAAACCCACCCAGATCAGGCACTCGTGGTCACCAGGCCGAAATGACTTTTAGCCTTGCCCACCCCAGTGTCCCTGCACTGGGTGACACCAGGCTGCTGTTGTGGCTGTGCAGCTGTTTGAGCTCGTTGTTGTTTCCCTTTGGTTTCAGCTGGACCAGGTGCGTGGCAATCGCACCACGTACCTGCGCACGCACAAACCCCCGCCCAAGGAGGAGTCCTTCTGGCACCCAGCCCGCTTTGAGAAGGTATGGAACACTGGGACACCCCACCACGACCCACCCCCTGCCTAAAGGCGACTTTTCTGGGCTCTACAAGCACTTGAGTGAGCTCAGGGATACCTTCCAAGCCACATGTCCCAGTACCATCCTTAGGACACCACGAGGCTCTTAGCTCAGAGCTCCCCGACACCCAGACCTTAAAATGGTCCCAGATGTGTTCAAACATCAGACCCCCTTTTGGACTTCAGGTGGGATTTTTTTTGCCAGCCATAAGCCCTGGAAGAGAGGCAGCAGTTGTCCAGATAACTTATCTTCTAACTTGTGTGCACTGTCACACATAATGAGATGAGAAGCATCTTTTTACGTATCACTGTTAGAACAGGGGTGGCCTTTGTTCTCTGCTGGTGTTCCCACAACAGCCCTACACAAGCAGGACAGTCACACCTGCATTTTGCTACCCTGCCGTTTCATCAGCTCTCACCACAACTAATTCAAACCACACCAGATGTTCCAAGAGGCTTTCCCACCCAAGAATGAGAGCTTTCTAGAAAACCTGCACTCTTGATACCTCTCTAAACTGCCTGATTGACAATATTTATCTTGAGACTAAGCAAAAGGGTCTGGCCAGGTTGTAGATGTGCATGACACTTCCTTTAATTGATCCAAATAAGAGCCAAGGTGAAGATTTCTTGTTCCAGCACTGGGATCTAAACATCTCCCTGAATTCATCTGTGCAACCTGCTGTGCTCTGGGGTGCTTGTTTGAGTCCTGTTACCTTCATTTGTGGTGTAAATCACAGGCAAACTTCAAGTGAAGAGCTAAGGGGCATTTTAGGAAGGAAGGGGAAAGAACTGGGCAAGTGGAATAGAAAGGAGACACCAGAAAATGAAAACACTGAAACCCTGCAGGGAGTTTGCATGGCCAAAATCATACCTGGCACTGATAGATACAACTGCAAAGAACTTCTGAGCTCTCCACCCCAGCCCTTGTTCTGATGGGGTAATTTTTTTTTTTGCCACGCTGCCGATTTTTAAACCGCGCTTTAAAACGACCGAGAAGCCTTGTGACTTCCTGAAGCTGATTTACTTGTACAAGTTGGGGAGTTTTGCCCAAGAAATGTGTTTTGCACCACCTTGATATATTCCTCTTCTGTCCTGTCTCAGACTGTCCGATTAGCATATGTCAGTAATCATTTATCCCCACTGCCTGTCAGCTCAGAGCTGCTGCTGCGGCGAGTGTCAGGGAGAGAACATGACCGATCGCTGTTAAACAGATTGTGGAAGTCACACGAGATACTGGGGCAAGCCTCCTCTTTAGAGCTCCTCTCACCCCAGACCTTTCCATCACTGTTCATTTTTCAGCCTGTGTTCTGCTTCGTGCTTTGCCTTTTGTTTCATCCCTGGCTGTGGTTGGGTGGGTTCCTCCCCCCAGCCACAGCTCTCAAACCTCGGGGTCTTTTCTTCTTGCTGCCTTTCTCCTTCCTCTCCTCTTCCCTGCCTTCACAGGAGCAGCATCCAGGAGGAGGGACAGCTCATTTTGGACAGCCTCTGCAGGTTTTCTGTACTCCTCCTTTCTCATTACATTAACCTGGAAGGTTTGCCTTTCCCCAGCTGCAGATCTAACAGGCACAGCCCACGTCAGAACTTGGATTGGGGAATTTTGTTACTCACTTGACTTTCAGTGCGTGGTTTCCTCCATGGAAAAACAACTTCATTCATCCATAAATGCTTCCCCATATAAAAGCAGCAACAACCCAGAGAAAGTTGATTCTCAAAGACACTTGATGGCCTCCAAACAGGTATTTAACTACCACTGTAGAGGTGGGTTCTACAAAGGTGGTAGAATGTTCTTCAAAGCAGACTGTCCTAACCCTTTAACCAAACCCAGGAACTCCAGGAGTCAAAGTCAGTCCCTTCTTTACAAAGGTGTCAATAGACCAAAACTGTCTTAAATCCATGTAACACCCTCATCCTACTGTACAAAAAGAGTATGAAAAGCAACCACATAAATATCACTTTACAGAAAGCTTGTTAGGAAACTCCATCTGCATATTATTTCCTGCCAGCCTTCAGTGACATTGTCCTGCTCTGGCCAGTACAGAAAACTGTCATGACCAGGGAAATACTCCAAACCCTGGACAAAAACATTCAGAGACTCCATTGCCCTGAGCACTGCCCCACTTGGAACTTTATTTCCATGTGACCTGAGGCTGGTGTGAGGTGCAGGAGTGCGATGTTCTCAAGCCACTTGTCCTTCTTGTCACAGTCACCCCATCCTCTGGTGTCATGCCTTTAAGTCTGGCCTGCTCTGGGCCTGAGGGAGCAATGCAAAGCAGCTGGGGTGGTTTATAACCCAAAACAGGCAGTAGGAGGAAGGTGAGACTTTGTTCCTTTGGACCCAGAAAAATCAACAAGGAAGATTTTTCTACTCCCATCCTGACCCTTTACAAAGAGCTGCAGGAACTGGACATGGATGTCACTACTGGTTCTTAAACTGGACTTTCCACTCAGTCCAAGACTCTTTCTTGGCACCTTGCTAGAGCTTGCCCAGGAAGTGGAAGAGAGCGAAACAAAGGAGCTTTTCCCTCCCCTCTAATTGCCTCTGCTTGCTCCCTGCATTGCCAGAGCTGCATGGCATTACATAGCCATTCAGTCAGTAAAGTACAGACAAATTGACTATATTTTCATTTGGATTTAGGTTTCAGCCCCACTGCTTTAGAATAATGGCCCACACTGTTAAGCTAACCGGGTGGTTCACAGGCTCTCCCACACTGGGTGATCACTCCCGTTCCGCTCTGGAGGAACAACCTGTGGTCTCCTGGGCCCCCCAGCTCACCAAGACAGACAAGTCACAGTCATCTCCTGATGGGCAGTTCATTAGGGAAAGTATTGTAGTGGGGTATTTGTTTTTTTTTTCATATTGTTTTAACAAAACCAACCAAATTAACTCCTTACTACCCTCAGCAAGATGCTTCTACTGCCCTCCTCTTCCTCAGTCACCTCCCAAAGCAAAGAGCCTCTGCCTTGCTCTGCCTGCAGTGACATGATTCCTGGGCTCAGGTTTTGCCAGCATGGGCAGGGACACCTTCCACTAGCCCAGGTTGTTCAGAGCCCCTTCCAAATTTGAACCCGTTTCCGCTTGTCCTGTCACTACATGTCCTGTAAACAGTCTTGCCCCATCTTTCCTGTAGCTTCCCTTACTGGTACTAGAAGGCTGCAATCAGGTCACCCCCAAGCTGAACAATCCCAGTTCTCTCAGCCTTAAATACTCCTGTTCCTCACATTTATGGGATGTGTCCCATCCCTGTGTCACTCCTCACTTGCTGGCTCAGGCAGAACAGCATCCTTGGTGTCAACCGCACTCTGGAAAGGATGTTGCTACCAAAATGCAGCATCCTCACAGCCACGGCTGTACCAGCCTGGGGTGAGGCTCCAGCCACCTCCATCTGCACATCTGATAGTCAGTGCCTGTACTGGGTCTGGCTGAGCTGGAATTCATTTCCCCAGAGCGGCTTCGCTGGGAAGGGGAGGGATCGAGGGGCTGGGTGGGCACTCGGTGTCCAGCCGAGGTCAACCCACTACACTACCCAAAGCAGTAAGGCAGTGCTGGCCACTCTGGATAGATTTCCAGGGCTCTGTCAAGCGAATCCAGAAGGATTCAGGTACCAACACCTCCCACAGCAGCGCTGCAGGACAGAACCCACCCGCGTGTCAAACACCTCCGTGCACCGATTCACCGACACGCCGGGGCTTCTCCTTTGCTCATTAGGGAACTGCAGCTCGCACAGACGCTGAGGGGGCTCATTTCCTTGACCAAACAGGGGGGGAGGGAAGGAAACGCAGCAACTTTGGCCACCACTTTTGTCACCAGCGCTGCCTTCCCGAGCAGATGAAACGCGCGGCGCTGGGTGTGCGCTATGAATAAGCGATAAGCCATTGACGAGCAAGTGTTCGGGTACCTTGGCAAAAGACTTAATTTGCAACCTGGCACAAAATCAAAGGCTCTGTCAGCGGCTGAGCGGCTCTCCCGCGTCTGCCTCGCGTTACCTGGGAAAGCTCTGTCAGGTAAATTTCCACTGAAAGTAATTAGAGGAATCCCCACCGTACAAACTTTGCGACAAAAAAAAATAAAAATAAAAATTCTGGGCTCTGGAATTTGATTCTCACCAGGGATCCGATATCTGCTCGCAGCCTGATCCTCCCTCAGAATTAACAGCGGAGGTTGAACACGTACGCACAAAAGTGTTCCGCATTTTTTTTTAATGCCTTCCCTCTATTTTCGTCTATAGAGCTGAACTGACAAGCACAGCTCATGTAATCTTGCAACTGTTGTCAGCAAAGCCATGGATTCTGCTTAGATAACCCGGGCTTGATGCACACAGCACGGGGTGGGCTGGCTGTTCAGGTACAGTGTTGGTCCTCCTGGCTTTGAGGGCAGAAAAAAACTTTATGGACTTTTGAGTATTGTTGTAACTTGTCTCCTGGGGCTGAAGTAGTGCTTAAAAAAATAAAGCAACAATTTCCTTCCACCGTAGCAGCAGATCAGACCTCCCTTCAGCTGGGATTTTGGCTGACCAAGAAAAAAAAAAAAATTAAAATCAGTGTCACCTGGTGGCTGTTCAGTGGCCCAGGTGACATGAGTTGGCGGGTCCCAGCCCTGCAGTGACAACGCAAAGCAGCATTGCTGGCTTGCAGCAGGCACAATGCAGAAAGAGCACAACACCCTTCAGGGTTCCAAATGGGCAGCAGAGACTCAGGCCTGACTGTGACCCCTGCACATCTCCTCTGGGACCAGAGCAGAGGTGTCACCTCCCACACCACAGCCATTCCATGACCAACTGCAGGCCCTGGGCCCCTCTCACCATCATGACATTTCCTTGTACATTCTGGAGGTTTTCTTCGTTTGCCTGATAGCTGAAGCTTCCAGCAATACAATTGCTCAAATCACAGCAAAGCATCTTCATGGTCCAGCCTTCCCCAGTATCCTTTGTGTCCTGGACACTCAACCTCTCCATTCCACCCTAGTGCTGCCCTCTGCTATAGAACAGTTTGGGGTTTGAAGGGACCTTTAAAGGACATCTGGTGCAACCCCCCTGCAGGGTCATCTTCAATAGATCATGTTTCTCAGAGCCTCATCCAACCTGACCTTGAATGTTTCCAGGGATAGAGCATCCCCCACCTCTCTGGGCGACCTGTGCCAATATTTCAACACATTGTGAAAAAAAACCCAAATTTCTTACATCTTACCTAAATCAACCCTCTCTTAGTTAAAACCATCACCTGCCTTGCTCAGCCCTTCCTTGTGGCTCCCTGACAGTGACCCATTATCCCTCTGCTCTGCCATTTTCATCTCCTGATTGACACAACCAAACACCACCCTCCTTGTGCAGCCTTACAGCCTGCACCCTCTCCAGGGCAGGCTCCACCTACATCCAAGCCCCAAGCATGCAAAGGCAGCACAAGGAACTCTTGGCATCCAATGCCCATTGCTGTAATGCAGATATTCCCCTGTGAAGGGAGAGATTTTTGGGTGCTCACAGCTTCGTGGCTTGTAGCAAAGTAAAACCACACACACAGTGTTGGGTTACAGGTGAGCACCAACCATTGCTTTCAGTGCTACCTGCTTCCTACACAAACAGAAGCACTTCTTAAATGGATTTGGGATTTCATTCATGGACCTGTTCTGACTTCTGCAGAGATGCTATTTATCAACAGACAACTTTAAGTAAAACTCTTGCCTGGCATGAAAAGGGTCAGGATTCAGATCTCAAGCACACGAGGTCAGTGTGAGAGCTGCCAGCTCTGGTCTGACCCCAGAACACCAGGGGCACACACCAGGTTACAGCTCCAGTAGGTTAATTCTCCTTTCCTCATACTATTGCCCAGACCAACTGACCAGTGAACTCCAGCAAATATCTGTGGACATTATTTTCAGGAAGAGAAAAAAAAAAATCCCAAATCTCCATGGGACATTAAAATACAGCAGCCAAAAATCGCTGAGCACTGTTTGAAACCTTCCTGGCTTTGAAGCAAATGAGGATCATTTAGCCCAGGCTCCCTTGTCCTGCATTCCCCTCTGTTCTTAGAAAGGTGGGGAGAGGAAAAAATCAACCCCATTCATTAGGCCAGTTAAGCGTGCCAGTGGCAGGAAAAGCCACAGCATTTGTAACCCTAATAATCCGACACTCACCTCTGAGCACAGCTCATCTTGGACAGAATAACGTCTGTTTTAAAAGTACCTGCCTCTCTCTAACTTGTCATGGCATTTGTTGACAACCCTATTGAAAGGCGCTCTCGATGCGGCTGTGAAGGATCTTTCAGCACCTCTTTCTCTTTCCTAGACAGTTTTTGAAAGGGAGGGGAGGAAAAGAAAAAAGCCATCAATACAGGGGGAAAAAGGCATCAGCAGCCAACATCGGCTGATGAAGCGCCTCACCTGGGCCCCCAGCACACCGCCTCCAATTAAATCAAAATGGTTTGTTTTTAATGGTCTTTTACACTGACAAGTGGGCTATCATTCCAGGCCTAGAGAGCTGTCAGGGAGCCGAGGCAAATCCTCCGTTGATAATGCCCAATGCTTCCAATTAGGAGCCGAGGCCGCTCCTGGCGCACTAACGATTCCCCAGCCTCCCCCAAGGCCCCTTCGGCGTTGGCTGTTTCGTCTTCCCTCTTCCTCCGCCGCAAATTACTGACACAAAACGGAGGCGCCCCGGTGCCTCCTCACCACGCCGGGCCCCGGCCCTGTTGGATTTAATGAGGCGATGGAAGTTTTCGCGGATCTTTCGCTAAATTCTTTTCTTGTTTGACAGCTGCTTGAGTGTTGACCTTATAAAAGATTTAGTGTTTCTCATTATTTTCTGTCAAGCTTTACAAGTGATAGCTTCACGGGAAAATCATTTGCATCCCGATGCGCGCGTGGTTTTTTTTTTTTTGTTTTTGTTTTTTTTTTTGGTCTGCGCGGTGGGCACGCCCCGAACACCCTACCCCCTCTCTGCATTGTTTGTTTTACTCCTTCCCCACCCCTCCCTGAAAAAAACAAACAAACAAAAAATCTACAGATTTGTGTTGTTTTAGGGGGGGAAAAAACAAACCAAACAACAACCAAACCCACAAACAGGATAAGACTTAAAAGGCCCAGGATTTGTTACACTCCTGTAAATGAGGGAGGTTTGGAGGGAAAAAAAAAAAAAAAAAAAAGAATAGGGATTGGTTTCCTGTAAAGGAGAGCTCGGGAAAGTGTTTTGTCACCCGCTAAAAGGATTCGATCAAATGGATGATGGAAAAACCAGGCTGAGCGTCGGTGCAGCTTTGGTGTTCAAGTGAAAAATCGTGCGAGGCTGGGGGAGCTGCCTGTGAGCAGGTGGGCAGAGCCAGGCAGGTGCTGGGAGAGGAGCAGGTGAAGCTGCATCTCCCTGCAGCCCAGCATGGATCCCTCCAGGGCAGGACCACAGCCTGGTGCTGCTTCTAACTTGGCTTCAGCCCCTGTCATGGGTTCTTTCTCAACTCCTCCTGTGAGTCATCACAGTCCATTAAATCCTATTGACTAAAACTCCTCCTGCATCAGCTGAGCTTACTGAGCACCCAGGGGTGCTCACAGTGCCCAGCGCCTACAGCACCCACCTCAACGTGGACAAGCCCAACACCCACAGCACCCTCAAAACCCTGGTCAGTCTCTGGGGTTCGCTGCCATCAGGGGAGCTCTGCCTTCCCACTGCACCAGCTCAGCCTGTCTGCATCTCACATGCCATTTCTGAGCCCTCCATTAACATACCTGCTTTAATTTCTCCTCCATAACTGAGAAACCCAAATTAAAATACCCCTCCCAAATACGTATTTAAGTTTTAGGAGTGGTATTTTTTATTGCACCTCTAATTCTTTGAAGCAAACGCGGATATGACATCCCAGCTCCAGGAGTCCTGCAGGTTTTCATTTGTCAATAACAAATGCAACGAGCAGCAGCAAAAACATTGCTCCTCATCAGCAGCTAAAGGCCATTGCAGCTCCATCATCTGCGAGGAAAACCACTCAGTTTTTGCCTACAAACTGCATTCCTGTCCTGCTACAGCCAATGCTCCAAATCCATGACTCAGACAAAATCTTGACATAACAACCCATTACCACAGCAGAGCAACGGCAAGAATCATCAGCTGTCTCCAGAGGAAGTACCTTTGGGTTCATCATTTAAAATATGAATTAGAAGAATCAGAGATGAGGATTCATCACTGGCATTGACTTCTCAAGACTGGTCTCTGTCATAATAAGACCTTTGACCCAAGGACACCCTTTATCTGGGCTCTAATTCCTGGCCCTCATTATGAGAGGGTTTCTCATTTTTTAAAATAGCACTTGTCCCTGTCCTACACCTGGTGCTTCCCACTCACTCATGCTGAGGGCAGGAGCTGGAATCCCTCACAACTTCGTCAAGGTTCTGCTAATTTTAATCATTGCCAGTTGTGGCTCAGTGGGACAATTCTCACCCCGTAGCTTTGTACCAAGTTTGGAGTCAAGAAACTGCTTTTTCCTTTCCTGGGGCTTCAACCCAGTCCCAGGCCAAAATTTCCCTCTTCCCAGTTCCCAGCACTGGTGGGTAAGGGAGCACGACAGGAAGGCAGGAGGCACATCCAAGAGAAGCAGCTCAGCTGTCCTTACCTGCAAACACTGGGTTTTTCCAACAATCCCAGCTCTGAGGGGAAAATGTGTGCATCTTTAATGGGAGGTTGGAGCTGGAACAGCCAGGGATTGTCCCTGCCAGCTCCCTGGGGACACCCACCTACTTTAACAGCCCTTGGTTCTGCCTCCCCCACATCTCCCTCCCAGAGAGGGGTTATGTGACTGCTGCTACTTGTGAGAAAGCAAAAACATCCAGAAACAGCTGTCTGAAGTTCGGCACTCAAATGCATATTTAAGTACCTGAACGCCTCCCTCCAGAGAGGGGGAATAGCTAAATACGCTTTGTTTGTCTTGATTAATGAGATCACTCGCCAGCTTTTCAGGGCAAAGACTGCTCTGTATTTTTACATATGCAAAACCTGACACGCAGCCAGGCTGAGCAGGGTGGGGGAAGCAGGAGGCAGCTCAGCACACCCACCCGAGGCAGGTTTATGTGGCACAGGGGATGGGGCTGGGGCAGGGAAAGCCCGTGGGTCCCCCCACGGCAAACCCACTCCGTGCAGGAAGACACTCAGATCTCAGGAACTGCACCTCCTGGGCAGGTTTGCTGCACACAGCTGTGTGTGAGCCCCGCTGCTCACACCAAACAGCCCTGGGACAGTTCTCCCCCAAATTACTTCCCCTTTGTTTATTGTCATGGGCATTTTTTCACCCTCTCCCCACCTCGAAGGTGATTCCTGGGGAGTTGCTGCTTCTGTGTTTGTCAGCCAGATCCTGATCCCAGTGGGGTCTTCCCTGGGAGCTCTGAGCCTACCCTGGCCCCCTCAGTGAAGGACACAAGTCCTGTGTTGTCGAAAATGAGTCATATTTATTTCAGGGCCCACCTTAGGGCATTGCCCGCCTTTGAAAGTGTCAGACAACAAACACACCATAGTAAGACTACAGGGTTTTGTTACTAGAGCAGGATAAGACCCTCCTGAAATCAATCAGAAAACTACTCCTCGTTTTAAACAGGTAAAGTGTTTTTAACTTGAGCTGGAGCTGAGTTTTCCAATCATGCAAAACCCCTCGTGCAATCCGCAGCCTCTTCCCTGTCTGTGCTACAACCTATTTTCTGTGGCTGACTGTAACCAATCCTCTCTCTGCTCCTTCCCTCATAGGTTGAGCCTCATCTCAGTACTTTTCCAGACCCTGAAACTCGTGAAAAGGCACTCAGTGCCTCCCACTGAGAAGTGCCTGCCAGAGGTGCTGCCCTTCCCCAGAACACCCACCCATCGAGGACCGTGCTGGGCACTGCCCTGTGACCCCACACAGACTTTCTCTCAGGTTTTACCGAGTGATGCTAATGCAGATACAGCCAAATAAAGCACAAATATAAGAGGAATGTTTCTGTCTCAGCCTGTTTGTTGCTTCATGTCAAGGGCACAGCACCTTAGTCTGAACACCAAGACTGTCATCGTGCCCAAGGTATCAGCACACCCCAGGAACAGGGCAGTGTTCAACCAGCACAGCCCCACAGGGAAAGCAGGAGTCTCCTTCTCTGTTGGTTCTGAACAATTAAATTAAATGCAGTCGACATCAAATCTAGAATATCTCATACTCCAGTCCTTCTTGTTTCTTTGCCAAATCACTGCCTGATGCAGCAGAGCCCTTGCCTGTGTGAAGGAATCCAAACACCTGCTTTAACCACTGTGCCAAACTGAGGCCTCACCACAGAGAGAAGCCTCCACTTGCAGATGACTCCAGCCAGCTCCACACACACCCTCCAAGAGCTGCTGGTGCCTCATGTCCCCTGGGGCTGAGCCTCTTACTGAACAAACTCAAACTCCAACAACAATTTGACATCACAGCACCCAAACCCCAGCTTGGTCACCCACAGGCAACAGCAGAGGCTCAGTTACCAGCACATTTGGAATCCATCTCCTCCCAGCAGAGCATTTCCCCTCAGTGTGATAGCACTTGGTAATAAGTGTGATTACTTTAACTGTGCCTCTCCATTATTGCTACAGGAATAATTAATTACTCCTGTGTAGTCTGCCTCTCACATCTACTGTTAGAGCTCAGATTGTACCAGCTATCTAAATCAAATTAGCTTTCAGTTTTCATATCCATCATCCCATTGGCACTTGGAGAGCTCAGATGTGTTCTGAGCTACACTCTGAGAGGTGAGATCTGCTGCCCTGGGCAGGCCCAACTGCATCCCCAGCTCAGGAAGGGATTGGTAATGAGCACTTCGAGGGTGGATGTGCCCAGCATGATTTTTCCCCTCACACCTCAGCACTAGGACTAGCCAGCCCTCCTACATAGACCCACCAGCAGCCAAAGGACATAAAGAATTCATGTTGAGCCAAGGGCTCGTTGCCCACTGGATTTCCAGCCAAACTTTTAAGCCCAAAACCTCAAAGACAAAAGTTCTTCGTAACATTAAACTGTGCCACTCAAGATGAAAGAACAAAGTAAACTGCATTGGGCAGATTTTCTTACCCCTCTCAGGACAAGGAAGGCTCCCCACCAGCTGCTTCAGCATCTCCCACATCCCCTCCTCAGGGGCAGCTTGTGTCTCAACCTGCCCTTTATGTAAGGAAGGAGCTGTAACAAACTCCACCCTGCCCACACCTGAGCTGAGGGAGGAACAAAATCACCTGCTCCACACCAGGGAAATCCTGGGATGTGGTTGCTTCTTTTTAGCACAGGCCTTTAAATAAACCCCATCTAAAATAACGAGGAGGATAACAGCAGGGTTTGCAGAGGAGGATTATAACCAAGGACTTTTCCAACCTCCCCAGGGAGGGAGGAAGCCAGGCCTTAAACACTTATCTTGCTAAAAATGACACTGTGAGTGTGTGAGAAGCCCAGGCTGAGGTTTGTCTGGTGGGAGCCACATCCAGCTCTTGGCCCAGCCACAGCATCTGTGTCCACCTGCACCAACCACTCAGGTCCTTGGGATGCACACAGGGAAGGAAGCATCTCCAGAGAGTCCTGTCTGGCTGGAAAGGGCTGTCACACAACACGTGTGAACCCTGTGAACCTGCTGGTTCAGGACAGGAAGAAGCCAGAAAAAGAGACTAGAAACCCAAAAAAGCACCACCCTCGTTCAGAAGGAGACGCCTCCCAGTGGGGGTTGCAGCCGGCAGACCCGCCCCGAAATCCTGGACAAGGTGGTGCCCCAAATGTCCCGAGTGTCACAGCTCGGGGGGGGCTGCCCGGGGGGAGCGAGGGGCATCGGCACCGCCCGCACCCCCCGTGGGGGACCCCACCCGGGCTGTCCCTGACCTAGCTCAACCCAACCCAACCCAGCCATGAGCCGGTGTGTCCTCCCCGCTCCCCGTGTGCCGGCGGAGCCCGGTGCGGGGTCCCGACCCCCGTCTCGCCGCCCCCGACGCTCCTTGTCCTGCAGTGACACCCACCGGTAACGGGGTTTTACCGCTGCTGCAGCTTCCCCGCCGCGGGCCCGGCTCCTCCCCGGCACTGCGGGCCCCCGGCTGAATATCCCCCCCCTTTCCTGCCGTTTCCCCCCACCCCGAACCCTCCTCTCTCCCATGGAAATGCGTTCGTTTCGTTACCGGAGCATCCCAGCGGTGCCTGTCGCTGCTGAGCGTCCCTCCCCGCGCCTGCCGGGCACGGCTCTTCCGAGCACCCGGCTGGGGTTGGGTGAGAAATTCAGTGCAGCAGAGCCTCCTGGGAATTCCTCCCTAAGCCAGACCCCTCCAGGACACCGGGCAGATATTTCTCAATTAGCTCTTACTAATCACCATCCCAGTCTGTGCCCTCCAACCCCTGGCCCAGCTGTGGAAGTGTCCCCAGCCCAAGCCTCTGGGAACACCTGGATCAGCCCTGTCCTGTGGCCTCAGGGCCAAACCCACAATGGGGACATGTCCTAGGAGAGCCTGGCCATGTCCATCGGCATCTCCCAGCAAGGTGGGACGCAAGGAAGCTCCCAAAGCTGTCAAAGTCCTGGATCCAACCCTGGGGTGTGACTGGGGCTTGTGAAGAGGGAACTGGAAATGTGGGGATCTCCTCCACATACAGACCAGTCAGTGGTCTGTCCCTACCTGTGCTGGGAGCCACAGACACATTATCTGAACCCCACTTGTCTGGTGACAGAAGGAGGACACGACGTATGGGCAGAGTGGGACACGTTTCTGCCTTGGGAGGGCTAGTTCTGAAACAACTTAGTAATAACAATAACTTAAATAATAATAATAGTAATAATAATTACTGTCAGCCACACTGACATTAGAACATGAGTAGCAAGTGCATCTGTAGCTGCTGGGAGCTCCAAGTGTGGCCTAGGAGTGACAGTCTCTGTCTCCAGGGCCTTGGCTGGGGATGGCACCATGCAGCACCTGCTCAGGGATGAGCAGGACCCACTCACATGTCCCCCCTCCAAAATCTTGTGCAGCATCAGGAAGTTGGTCTGATCTGGAAACTTCCTGGTGGTTATTTGAAGGCAGGTGTTTTATTCAAGAGCAATTATATAGCAGCAAACTTTATACAGCAGCAAACTCACCAGCCCCAACCTGTCCCTGCATGGCTGATCCAAATCCTGATTCTAAACCAGCTCTGCTCCCTTTTCTGGTTCCAAACACAACCTCGGTGCTGGTCCCTGTCCCAGTGCCAACCTCCATCCCAGATGGGGTCTCCTGGTTGGATAGGGACAGGGAGGCTGCCAGAGCCCAAGAACCAACACAAACACTGCAAAGAGCTGGGAAACCCCATGGGGGTCTCACCCTCGTTTCTCACTGGGACCAGTTTGTGCACATCCATCACTCAAGCGACCCTTGGCCCGGCCTTGTGGGTGGTGGGTGCTGCAAAACTGCCCCTGGACAGACCAGGAGCCTTCAGCCTGGCCCCCAGTCCCGGGTACTGGGGCAGCACCGCTGTGATGGGAGCGGGACAGGGCAGAGCAGCAGCAGGAATCCTTTGCCCGGGGAGGGACAGGGAGGACGGGCAGTCCCCGGCACGGCCGTGCTGCATCCCCGAGGTGGGGGCAGGCTGGGACCTGGGGCTGACGCTGATTTTGTTACTGGGCTTGTCCTCCTGTAAGGTTCTTTTGTTCCGCTGCCCCGATCCCAGCCGGCCCCGAGCCTGCAGGGCCGAGGGCAGGAGGTGCTGGGGGCCCTGCCTGCGCCGCTGCCCGACAGCTGGCAGCCGGGCTTCCCGAGGGGGCGGCTCTCCCCTCGCTGGTCGCCTCCAAGCTGCCGGCCAAGGGCGGCTTTGGAAGAGGGACAAGATGCAGCTGACTGGCCGGGAAGGTGGGGAACGGAAGAAATCGAGTATTTGAGAAATAAGCAGCGGCATCGCTTTAAAGTGGCACAGCCTCACGCGTCCGGGTGTGGACGTTTTCCTCTTCTCCGCGGCGAAAGGGTCTGCCCCTAAATGAACCCTCGAGGAGGCAGGAGCCGGGCTGACCGCGAGGAAGGTGGGAATCCTGCGGGAGCCGGTCCCTCTCCAACCTGGGAGACCAACAACGGCAAAACGCCCACGACGGGGCGGGAGGGAGGAAACTTGGGTGTCTCTGGGAGAAACGGGCAGCCCTGGCTGGGGCTATCGGGCTTTTAATTTAAAACGGGACTGACGGCAGGAAAAATCCACCCTGAGTGCGGCCCCTTCCCAGTTGCACCAGTAGGTACCGCCGCCTGGCGCTGGGAGAGCGGGCAGAGCCATACCCGGTCCTCGCCGCTCCGGCAGCGCTGGGCTGGGGTGGCGGCTGCCCGGCGGCCCCGCGGACCTCTCTGCTCGGTCACAACCGATTTCGAGAGGATTCAACGAAATTCGCAGCTTCGAGGCTCACCTTGGGCTCAGAGCAGCCGCCTCTGTGCTGGGAGCTTGGGGAAGGTTTTGGTGCTTTCCCTTGTCCTTTTTAATTTCCTTTTTTTTAATTATTATTTTTTTAAATATTATTTTAACGCCCAGCAAAACTTTCCCTGCCTGGGAGGGAGCGGCAGATCGGCTAGTTGCGGGGGGGTGAGCAGAAAGCAGCAACCTCTCGACAACCCACCACCACCACCCCCCCGCCCCTTCCGCAGCTAATCATCCCATTACGAGCCCCATCAGCGGGATAATGACGGCAAAAGAGGGCGGAAGCCGCCCGGAAAGCGCGGGGATGCGGGCGGCAATTAATTCCCGTTAATCAAGCTCCGAGGTGTCGTCTGCTGGGGAGTGACATCCCCCAAAACGCCCGGCGGCCAATGGGCGCGTTCCCACGGGGTGGGTGGGGGGTGCCGGGGTCCCCCAGCCGGAGCGGCCCAAGTTGAGGTTTTCTCCCCATTTCCCCCCCCGGGGAGGGCGCGGCGCTCCCGCCGCTGTCCGAGGTGCTGAAGGCGCCTCCGGCTCCGGAGCGACTCCGGCTCGCGGGCTCTGTCCGAGGTGCTGAAGGCTCCGGAGTCACTCCGGTTTTCCCCCCAACCCCCCCCCGCCGGTGTCCGAGGTGCTGGCGGGGAGAGGGGGGCGCCGCGGCGGCCCCGACGGCTGGCCACCCCCTCCGCCCTCCCCTCGCCCTTCCCCATTGATTTCTGGATCATTAAGTGGTTAAGGCTCGGCGAAGCCTCCACTATCGATCGCTGCCTCCCCACCTCCGGCTGGGAGCCCCCCGGGCTGCCCCCCAGCCCCGCGCCACCGCGGCTCCGGGCACGGGTGGGGTGGCCGGGACCCCGGGTGAGGTTGGGGTCCGTCCCCCCTCACCCCACCCCCTTCGCGGCCAAAGTTTGACTCTGCCTCCCTCTCCCCCCCCTCTCCTGTCTGTCTGTCTGTGAGTGCAGCTGGGCGCGATGCTGAAGACGGAGCAGCCTTGGATCTAACGCGCGGCGCCTCGGAGAGCCTTGCAGCAATTGTTGCCCGGATCCCAGACTGAACTTTGCTCGGTTTTTTTTTTTCCTTTTCACCTTTTTTTAAAAAAAATATTTATTTTTCTTTCACCCCTTTTTTTAATTATTATTATTTTTCCCTCCCCCTCCTGTTATTGTTAATTATCGTTATCAAACCGCTTCCGCCGCGCCCTCCCCGCCAATGCCCGTGTGAGCGCCGGCACCTCGCGGGGGCCATGGAGGGCTCCACCGGGTTTGGGATCGACTCCATCCTCTCCCACCGAGCCGGCAGCCCGGCCGTGCCCAAGGGGGACCCGCTGGTGGGCGACGGCCGGTCCCCGCTGGAGCTGAGCCCCCGCTCCGAGGGCAGCAGCGGGTGCCCCTCGCCCCGCTCGCCGGGCCGCGAGTGCCTGGAGGCGGCGGTGCCGCGGCCGGGCCTGGATGCGCATCTCCAGCCGGGGCAGGTCTCGGCTCCCTCCCAGTCCCGGACCGTCACCTCCTCCTTCCTCATCAGAGACATCCTGGCCGACTGCAAGCCCCTGGCCGCCTGCGCGCCTTACTCCAGCACCAATGGACCTCACGGCGGGCAGGAGCCGGCGGGCAGGATGCCCACCAAGCCCGGCGAGGATTTTAGGGAGAAAATGGAAAAAAACACCAGCAGCTCCTCCTCGGACTCGGAGTACAAAGGTAAGAGCCGCTCACCCCGCTGGGCTTTGTAGGGCGGCCCTGACCCAAAGCCTCGGGCGGCCCGGGGGTCTCCCGGTGCTCCGGGGTCTCGCTGCGGAACCGGCCCCGCTGGTGGGGGGGGTCGATCGCCCCCGAAACGACCGCGGGGTCGGCACCAACTTGGGAAAACTTGGGGTTCGGGGCTCGGTGGGGCTCGGCCCGGTGGAAGGGGTTGGGGCGATCGGCTCTTCCTCAAACGCGCCCGGGGGATCCGCCGGGCTGTTTTCCCTGGGAAAGATCCGGCTTGTTTCGTTCCTACCCGCGGGGATATGGGAGAGGAGAACCGGGGACTGATTTCTGCCTGGGAAAAAAAAATAAAAAGGAGGAAAAAAAAAAAAGAAAAGAAGAAAACAATAATAAAATAGTCACGGATTTGCCAGGTATTTCCCCTGCTCCGTGGAGAAACGAACAAGCCAGTCGGCGGGGTTTGATTCGATGTATTATTTGTGTTATTATTTTGGGGATGGTTCAAAACAGAGCACGACAGGCAGGGAACCCCGGGCTGCATCCACGGCGCGGCTGGGGATGGATGCGGTGGCTGCTCGCCCCGGGCCGGGGGCTTCGGCCTCCCGGGCCCCTCGCAGCCCCTTCCCGGCCTCCCCCTGCGGCACCCCGGGCGGGGAGAGGCACAGGAACACCACGGGAGGGTTGGGGCCGGTCCTCGCCCCCCGGAGTGGTTTATCCCGAGTGCCTTCACCCATTGCACCCCCATCACCCCTGCAAACTTTTACCCAGGAAAAGTGTTCGCCGGCTGTTGGAGAGAGGAAGGCGAGGGTACCCAGCTGGGGGGAGAGAGGGGAGGCGATGGCACCTTGCGGCGCCGTTGGATTTGGGGGAGTTGATAGGAAAAAAAAGAGGGGAGCCCTGTCCCGGCTGCAAATGCACCCTCGGCCCGCCCGGAGCCGCTGGGCTGAAATCCGGTTCATGGAAGAAAAAATATTCGCCCAAAGGAGCCTCCAAAGGCGGCGGAAACCTCTGGGCATCGCAAGGGGATTTTCGCTCCAAACGAAGGACGGAGCCCGGGGTCGGTGCCGGGGCTGGAAGTGCCCCGGGAGGAATCATCGGCTCCGCTGCTCTGCAGGGCCGGGATTGAAAACAGCCGCGATTCCCACCTTGGCGGTTTGTTTTCGCCTCCTACACCCGCCCCAAATTCCTTCAGCTCCTCTCCCCTTCCCCCAGATCGCCGAGCCGCGAAAGAAGCGGGGGTGAGGAGGGGAAAGAAAAGAGGGTTCTTCGCATCCCCCAGAGCCGGCCGAGCCAGGGCTGGGGGGGAAGGATTTGGGTGGGGGCCGTTTCCCTTTGGCGCTTGGCTCCTCTCCTGTCCCTGCCACGGCCACGCTGCAAACGCCGCTGAAATGGGGGAAAAAATCCTTTAAATTGAAGGGGAAACACCGCTTAAATCGTGGAGAAAAAAAATGGCCTAAATGAGGGGGAGAAAACAGATTAAACGGGGGGAACAAAAACACAGTTTAAATGGGGGGGGGGGACCAAAGCTTAAATCAGGGTAAAATCCCTGCATTAATGGGGGAGCGGGTGAAGGTCCTCGTTTCCAGCACGATTCTTTTTTTTTTTTTTTTTTTGGCTGCTTTGGAAATAGCCTTTCCCGGGGCAAACCGCCCCTGATTTACTCCACGAAGGAGCTGCTGGGCCAGGCCTAACCCGGAGCGGCCAAAATGCCGAAAAAATCCATGATATATATTTTTATATATATATGTATAATTTTTTTTTTTTTTAAAGCTACGAATAGCCAGGGAAAGATTCGAAAGGGGTGGGAAACCCGCCTCCGCCGGTCCTGCAGCCCTTTGGAGAGCAGGAACTTTTTAGGAGCCGAGGATCAGCCCGGGGGATATTGGCGGTCTCGGGATGCTCGAGGCCTCACCCCCTTTTACTCCTCCGAAAAACTCCGCACAAACTTTGGGGTCGTTCCCGGGAGGGAGCGGGGCCGTCCCTCCTCCCATGCCCGGTCCCGGCGCTGCCGCTTTCCCGGGATCTGGGGCCGGGAGCTTCCCGCTTAAGGCTCGTCCCCTGCTCGGGCTCTGCCTGCTCGGCCAGAGCCGGGATTTCTGGTTGAAGGGTTTCGCTCCCCGGTGGCTCAATTAACCGGATTATTGTCTTCCTACAGAGAGAAATCAGCTCGCGTTCGGCTGGAGCCCTGTCCCCGCTCACCCCCGCCACCAGCAAATTTAACATAAACCCCTCTGAAAAAAAAAAACCAAACAAACACAAAACCAGCAACCAAACACCGCCGATTTGTATAAACCGAGCCTTTTTGGTCCATAATCTGCTCCAGGAGGGTGGGGAAGGCGAGCACAAACAGGGATTTATTTTTCCCCTTTTATTTCTGCTCAGTTATTTTTCCATCATCTACTAACATTTTGCGGCGTAAATTCCGCGTCGCTCCGCCGGCGCGTAGGTAACGACGGCGCCGATGAACCACGGCCAGCCCCTCTCATTCGGCATTTTTTAAGATAAATAACAGCCCGGGCAGGGGCTGGCGGAGCCCCTTCCCCAGTATTTCGTTGTGCGCCCTGAAGAAGGGAGGTTTGTTCCGTGCCCCGGGAGGACGGAGGTTTCTCCGCGGAGCGGAGGAGCAGGACCAAGCCGGCAACATTCCCCTCCAAAAAAATGTGGGCTTATATTTTTTCAGTTTTGATTGGTTTTGTTTTCGGTTTAAAAAAAGAAGAAAAAAATAAAAAAGAGAGGGAGAAAAAAAAAAAAGGAAAGAAAAATTATCCAAGCATCGAGAAATCTGTTGGGGTTTGGGGAATAAACTCAGAGGAGGGCCCTGCCCAGTGAGAAATGAGAAGAGAAGGGGATAAGGGGGGGTTTGGGCAGGAGCGCGGCGGGGCCGGGCCGGGGGTCCCCTCGGAACATCCCGGCGCTCCGGTCCCGCTCCCAGGCCTTCGGCAAGGGGAAAGGCCGGGCCCGGTTCGGGGAGACCCCCAAGGTTTAAATTTTTGGGGTTGCAGAGCAAACGTGCCGTGAGCCCCACTCGGCCCCGAGCCCCCGGCTCACGGCTGCAGGGGTTACCCCCTTCTTCTGAGGGTATTTCCATTCCTGCCCTGACCTGGCCTCTCTCCCTCCCTCTCGGCTCAGTGAAAGAAGAAGGGGACCGAGAGATCTCCAGCTCCCGGGACAGCCCCCCGGTGCGGCTGAAAAAGCCGCGCAAAGCCCGCACCGCCTTCACCGACCATCAGCTGGCCCAGCTGGAGCGCAGCTTCGAGAGGCAAAAATACCTGAGCGTGCAGGACAGGATGGAACTGGCCGCCTCCCTCAACCTCACCGACACGCAGGTGAAAACGTGGTACCAGAACAGAAGGTAAAAATGCACCGTTCCCTCCTGCCCTCAGCGCCGGGATCCCACCCTGCTCCTCTCCCCGGCCCCGCACCCACAAACCGGGCAGGGCTCTGGCACTCCAAAACCGCCCCGTCCCTCCTGCCACCAGGAGAGGTGCCACGTCCGTCCCGTCCCCGCCTCCCCAGGGGACTTTTACCCCAAAGTCAAGGGGAGAAAAGCGATGCCGGGGCAGGGTGGGGGGTGGGGGGCAATCCGTGCCCCCAGCCCCGGCAAGGCGGGGAGGCAGGACCGGGCTTCCAGCTAAACACAACAGCATAACACATCGGCCCATTAATAATAGATACCAATTACTGCTTTGGGCATCAATAATTAACACCCTTTACAGTAATTACACAATTATTATGATGATGAATAATTTACTGGTGGAAATAGGTTTAGCGCTTCAGCGACAAATCTGTAAAAGGGTTGGAGACGTGTGGTGGCTTCAGTGGGTTTATCGGGACAACCCGAGCCCCGACCATTGCCACTGCCACCAAACGAGGGACCCCCGGCTGCAGCCCCCACACTGTCCCCTCGCTCACCCCAGGGTTTGACCCTCCCTCCCCGTCGTTTCCAGTCACGCTTCGCCCTCTGCAAAGATCCCCCCACGCCGCTGATTTGGGGGTGTTTCGGGGCGCTGGGGGCTGTGTGATCATCTCTCCTTCCCCCAAATCCCTGCCGCAAGGACGCGCTGGAGCCGAGCCGGTGCCCCCAGCCCCTTCCCCGGCCAGCCCGGCCCGCCGGCGGCCCCGACGTGGGCGAGATCCCGGGGCCGGGGCTTCTCCACGAGATCCGGCACTCACACACACACACATATATAAATATATATATACACACACACATCCCCCTATGTACGTATGTATGCATATATTAAATATATACGTGTGTGTGTGTATGTATATCTGTGGGCATATACACAGACACATATATATGCCGCAAACGAATGCCCCGGGACGCTGCCCCACTCGAATTCCCCCGCGGGACCCTCGCAGCCCCCCGAGGGGTCCGTTCCGGCCCCGGCCCAGGGAAGGGGTCCCGGAGCCCCGGGCGGCGGATCGGGCCGGAGCATCGCGGTGGCCGCAGCACTCGCGGGGCTGAGGGGAGAGGATCCCCGGCGGGCCGTGTGACAATCTGGAACTTACACCCCCAGGAAGGGACTGAAATGACGGTCGCGATTTAAATCGCCGCGATTTACGCCCCGGGCGGGCTGTGGCTCCGGGAAGGCTCCGTGGGGGCTCCCGCCGGGCTGCCGCGGTGGGAACACCAGGCAGATAAGCCCCCTACTCCCATTATTGGGATCTACATCCCATCCCTGCCGTACCAGGGTGGTGGGAGCCAGCGGTAGGAGAGGGGATGCACAAGGAGAGCAGAGCCCGGGGAAAGGGAGCACGCAAAGGGTGGAAAGAGCCCGGGAGCTGCTTTGGGAGCATCCCTTCCTCCTTGACCCCCTCTCTCGACTTGTACCCCCCCAGGACCAAGTGGAAACGGCAGACGGCGGTGGGCCTGGAGCTGCTGGCCGAGGCCGGTAACTACTCGGCCCTCCAGAGGATGTTCCCCTCGCCTTACTTCTACCCGCAGAGCTTGGTCTCCAACCTGGACCCCGGCGCCGCCCTCTACCTGTACCGCGGACCCAGCGCGCCGCCCCCCGCCCTACAGAGACCCTTGGTGCCCCGCATCCTCATCCACGGACTGCAGGGCGGCAGCGAGCCCCCGCCGCCCCTGCCCCCGCTGCCCGGCGTCCTGCCCCGGGCTGCGCAGCCCCGGTGAGCCCCGGCCGCCCGGGAGACCCCCCCGGCACCCACCGGGCCGGGGGGCTGGAGGGGGCCACCCCACCTCTGGGGCCGCGAGCAAGCGACAGACTCCCGCTGATCCCCGAATATATATATATATATATAAATATAAATGAGACCTCCCCTTCCTTTTTTAAAATATATATAAAGAACGCAAGAAGCAAGGGCAGGCTTGGCAGGAACGGAGCCGGCAGAGCTGCCCCTTAACCCCGCGGGGCACTCGCCGCCTTTTTACCCCCTTGTGCCCCCCGAAGGGCAGCGGGGCCGCTGTGGGTCCCCCCACCCCGGCGTGGGACGGCGCCTGGAGCACGGGGGATGCGGGTGGATGCTCCGGGGGGGCTTTGCCTCTCCGCCCCCTCCCCAGGAACTGTCGGGGGGCCCGAGCTACACCTGCCACGGACGGCTCCGGGGAGACTCGTCCCCGCTTTCTCCGGCTCCCCGACCGCGGGGCACCATCCGGGATGGGCCGTGGGGAGGGCCCGGACCGACGGTCCCAGCGAGACTTTGGGACGTCCGTAACTTAAAATAAATAAAAAAAAAAAAAAAGAAAAAAGAAAACAGAAAAAAAGATAAAAGTAAAAAGGGGGGGAAAAAAGCGCGGTGGAATGTAAATACGGTGCAAAATGTATATGAATTATTTATTTGTGAACCCTGAGGGCGTATTTGTGTAAGTGATTCTTGTCAGTCTGTATCCCGGGGCCGGCCCGGCCGGGCGGGGGGCGCGGGGGGCTCGGGGCGCCGCGGCCGCTCCCGCTCCCCCCTTTTTTAAATGTGGAAATAAAACTTCTTTACAAACAAACGGGTCTCGCCTCCGCCGGCCCCTTCTTCCCCTCCCGCTTGTTTGCTCTGGCGGAGCAGCCGCCGCCGAGGGGAAAGGGAAGAGCAAAGAGGAGTTTTCCCACCTCCCATGGCAGGGATCGCCCCCCTCCCCGGTTCCCGGTGTCCTCCCGGTGTCCCCAGTGCCGGTATGCGGGACCGGCCGCGGGGCCGTCGGGGGGCACCGGGGCGCTGCTGCCCGGCGCGGCGATAGCGAATTAATAACGCTAATCTTAAGTGTATAATTGCCTAAGTGCTTTAAATGATCGCTTTGCAAAATGGATTGTTTCCACCCTTTAAAAGTGTCGCTCATCTGGCCGCGGCCAGCGGGCCCGGCAGCTGGTCCCCGGGACAGCCGGGCAGCGGCTCCTCGGCTCGGGGAGCCGACAGATGGGCTGCGGGTCCCCTCGGCCGCTCCCCCCGGCCCGCCTGTCTGCGGAGCATCCCCCACACACACACCCCGGCACCCACCGGCCCTACAGACCGCCCTCCCCGCGGCCGGGTCCCAGCCCGGTGCCCCCGGCCCGGCTCCGTCCCGGGGGCTTTGCCCCGGCACCCCCCGAGCCCCGCGGGGAGGGGGATTGTCGGCTCGGCCAAATGCACAGCCACGCCTGGGGGAGAGAGCCCCCGGCCTTTGTGGACGGTGCTGGTCCTTTGCATGTGAATGGGGGAGTTTGGTAAATCCCCGGGCCTCGGCTGGGCGAGGAGGAGGAGGAAGGGGGGGTCGCTCCCAGCTCAGGGTTAATGAAGTGGGAAAGGAGTCTTTCAGAGAGGCCTGCAAACAACCCCCTCCCCGGGCAACAACCCCCCATCCCAAATCCTACATGGATTGACTTAAACCCAGGGGATAAGTGCTTTAAATTAATCTCATTGAATAAGAATGAGGCCAAACAAAACTCTTTAAAATCATATTAAAAATCTATCAAAGGACAACTTGCAGTGGGTGTGCTTTTCATTTTGTGAGCGCAAAGGCAAGGAGCATACAGCAACCTTCCTCCCATTTACACAGCAGGAATGTGAATCAAAGACATTCTCTAATATTTAATTGTCCTTGTAGCCATAGCAGATTCCTCCTCTTACATTAATGAAGTACAAGGCTTCGTTACACGTTTGTAATTGCAATATTTAAATTTGCCATTTCATATCTGGAAGGAGCTGGAAACTCCCCCTGTAGCAGCGGGACTGAGCCAAGGCTGTGACACAGCGACAGGGTCCGGCTTGTGTCACAAGGATGGAAGGAGAGAGCAGGGCAGAGCCCTGAGGAAACCTCCTCTCTGGGAAGGGGGAATGGCTGTGCCATGTCTGGCTGGGAAAGAAAAAGCAGAGGGCAAGAGAGAGCTGGAGCTGTCGCTTCCAGGGGGATCTCATGGCGGAGTCAAGCAAGGCAAGCTTTGAGATAGATCAGTTTAGGGAAGACACCACAGGCTCTCAGAGAGCACTGCACTTGCCACACAAGGATCTCAGCAGCCTCAAAAGTCACTGAAGGACCAACCTCACCTCCAGGGACTGAGATTAGACCCGTTGTCCTACAGCAGAACCCACCAGCACTGGTCCTGTACCTACAGCAGCCCCTGACCAGGCTGGAAACTACTTGTTTCTAGAGGGCAGTGCCAGGCAGGCACGATCCTGGCAAGGCCTCAGGGGTGGGACAGGCTGTGCTGGGCTGATGAAGCAGTAAAAATGGCACAGCTGAGGAGGAGCAGCACCAGTGCCATGAAGGAAACCTTTGGAGTATTGCACCAGTTCTGCTCCACTGACTTCTCCCTGGGTACAAAGTCCAACAGACAGGCTGCTGGTGGTTGGGTTGTCAGGCTCTGGATTCAACACACAGACCAGATAGTGCAGTGGGTTTGCCAGGACCAAATGCAGTCCTGGCTCTCAAACCCCTTCTGGGCTTTCACCCAGCTCAAGGTCCACCTTCCTCCCCTCCTGACACGGCTTTAACCAGGACCACCACCCTTGGAACAGACAGAGAACAAAAGCTGCTCTGCTGAACATGCCAACACACAAATTCACTGAAATCAGAACTGTTTCTAGCCGAGATATTTCATGGCTTCATCTGAACATCAGACAAAACTATGTCAGAATGCAAAGCCCAGAACACAGGTGGCTTTTCCTGCCCTCCTCCCACGTTTATGGAGAAAGCAATTTGTAAAGAGGAGGTTCTGTTGCTTATCTACCCTGCTCAGTTATGGAGCTGTGTCTTGTGTCTGACTTAGACCCTGGAAGTGGGTGTTTAACTGTGACCCTTGTCCCAAGGTGACCTCCTTGCTTTCTCCTAATCCAAAGCCCTGAAGTGTGAACTCAAGATGCTTCAGTTGCAGAGGACAGGAGGAGGTGGGTTCCTTCTACAGGTAAAGGACACAGAGCCAGAAGAGAGCTGAGAAAAGGCACAGGAACATCTCCTGGGAGAGGCAGAACTCTGGCTGTGAGAGCAGGGAGCGGAACAGCAAGGAACACAAACCCAAACTGAGCCCAGTTCTGACTCACAGGCAGCTTTACAGAAAAGCTTCACAGTGCCATCATTTCCAGACCAGACACAGAAACCTCAGGCTGCAGGGCAGGAAAGCCCCTGCCACCCACCACAATGCAGACCAGAAAGCAAACCTGACCCAAGCCAACGCCAGTGCAGCCCAACAAAGCTGCAGTTCCACCAAACACTGCCCAGAGCTCAGCTCATCTCCCCTCCCAGGGGAGCTCCCACTCAGCCAAGCCCCCTGCAACGCCCACCACGTACCTCAGAGCTCGAGGGGACAAATTCAGGAGCAGTTCAGGGTGACATCCACATGCTCCAAAGCCACAGGAACCCACCATCACCCCCAGCAGCTCCTCCAGCATTTGGGTGCTCAGAGGACCTGGGAGCCTTTGCACCCACAACACCCTGTTCCTGCTGCAGGTGCTGGAGATCTGCAGGTGATGCAGTGATGGAATCCTACAGCAACTCAACCACCCCTGCCCCACCACAAGGACCACACCCTGCCCTGCCTGAATTAAGAGGTGGTTTGAGTACAAATGAACTCCAAACCTACCAGGTTCTTCCTGAATCGAGTGGTGCACAGGGATAAAGTCAGCTCAGGGCCAATCCAGAGCTGCCCAAGTGTAAACAAGGAATCCAATTCTGCCCACCCAGCCACAATTCAAACACATTTTGCACATCAGCCTTCAAGTTTATTACAGGCAAACTCAGCTTAACTCCAGGTGCATGTATGTATCTTTTAACACCTTTTCTTTCTTATTTAACAATCTCCTCTTCTCCCTTCCCCTAATCACACCAGTAATCCACCACTATCTGGTAAAGGATGGTGAAGCTGAAAGAAAAAGGCATTCTGCCTTTTTTAAAGATCACATTATTCATCATAACTGTTTGTAACATTCCCTGCCCAGTTAATTCAGGCAGCAATGAGATTTCCTGATGTCTCTCACCCATGTGCTGTTGGCCTTTATTCCTACTATTATGAATTTGCCAATAGTCCCTATTAATTCCTACGTGACAGTCAGCCAGGAGAAGGTCACATATTCTCCCCTCATGCACAAGATCATTCCCAAACTTGCACTCCCTGCATCACTCTGAGTCATTTTCATCCTCAGGGGTTTCTTTTCTGTTTAAGTTGACATTTGCCTTAAAACCTGATTGCTCTTCCAAACTTCTCATAAGAAAATCAGGTAAGCTTTGTTATTTTATGTTAATCTAATGAACGGTGGTAACTTCATTCTCTCTGCAAAATCATGGTTAATTTGATACTGGAGCCTTCTTAGCTTCTTTCTGAAGTGTTCAGAAGAGTATCACAGTGAAATCAGTGTGTCTGATAATTGACTGGGAGGAAAATAAAATTCTGGTTCTAAAAAGTTACATCCACTTCAGAAATTAAATACTTTGGGGCTGATTGCTTCTCTCCTACAATCCTTTGTATGACTCACTGCAGCCCGAAGTAGGTGCCCTCAATTCTGCATTCACAAAGCAGGCATCATTTTCATCTGCTTATACTCCTTTTTCAGTAGCTCCTTCCTTCTGACATCTGAAATTGCCACTGTTTGAGCACCTTCTGCTTCTGCATTAAACATGCCTGGCTTGGGGCATGGATGGGCTGCCCTTCCTCATCCCTGTCCTCGAGGAGGACACATGCAGGTAGCGGGAAGTTGTGTTTTGGCAGGGTTTGCAGCGTTTTCCCCTGTGCACTGCTTGGTGTCTGCGTTACAGGAGGTGCTGGAAGGAGCAGAGTGAGGAACCCAGGCAGAGGGAGGTGGGTGCTCACCTGGGGGAGTTTGGAAGTGCAAGGATTTTGGGGGCACCTGCTCTCCCCAGCACCTCACCAGCTCCAAGGGGAGTTTGGGTTTCATTTCACCCACTGGGCAATGGTGAACAAGCAGCAGTCTCAGCACGTTTGGGGCCATCCTGCATCCCTTTTCTCAGTGTCCCCGTTCTCCGAGGAGAACAGGATGGGTGGCAAAGGGCAAAAGCGAGAAGAGAAATCCAGGTGCTCAAAACAGGCCCAGGCAAGGCAGAGAACCCCAAAGGGCTGGGTTACTACTGGCAAGGGTTAGCAAGAGCCTGCATAGCTTTAATGTTCAGAGAGGTGAGACATCCCATACACCCTCTGCATTCTGTAATCAAGTGTGACAATGCACTGCAGCCTCCCCTCTCCTCTGCAACGTGCTCCTGGGACGCCTCCCCTGCCACGACTGTTAATCTGCTTGAAAACAGCAAGTGAAGGGATTGTGGAGCGTTCCTACAGGTCTTTTAAACAGAAAAGCACCTCCTGTCTCACCACAGTCGTCCCACTTTTATGTTACACAGACATCACTGAAAACCATATTTAACCATTTCTCTGAAAA